TTTATTGACCTTTAGGGAACTTTCGGAAGGGTTGGGTTTTTTTTTTTTGTTTTTCCATTTGCTCACCCAGCCGACGCTGGCACCACAAGACACTTCAGTGTAAGTAGCCAGCACAGCATTTTCTGCACGAGGGCACCGGTGATTGTGTCTAGCCCGGCTTGAGAGCATCTCTAAGCAGCATTGTGTTAAAATCAACTTCTTAAGAATAGAGGCAAAGTTATGTGAAAATTCCTGGTGCTATAAGCCATGCAGCTATTTGCATTTCAGCAATGATAGGATTTTTATTTTTTCTTTTAATTTTTACAACAGTTTTTCTGTTAAGCAGCATGAAAGATGGGTGGTGGGATAATAGCATGAACACACACTGCAAACTAAATCTGTTTCAGACTTTTCCACCCAGTGGCTCCACACCAAGTCCCCACAGATTATTTAAAGCAACTTCTGAATAGTTCCAGCAGAGTTACACATTTAACAGAGTGTGTCTTGGGTGTGTGGGGGTCAAAACAAATTTGTTTTATTAACGGGTCTGATAAGGTGAAATGTGATAGAAATGTTTTAATACCTTGTTGTAGCTTCGTACCTTGGTTTGGGACAATGTTTCAAGGTGCACCTGTGTATGTATTGTGCATGGCACAGCCCTGAAGTTGTGAGGAGAAGGAAAAACACAGACTTGCCGGCAGGAAATTAGTGGTTTAGTTCTCCTGACTTTGGGAAAACTTCCCCATTTACGTGGTGAAATGCAGCTACTGAGAGGTTACTAGAGTTTGCTGGTGACGTGTTCCTGTGACTCACTGTCCGTCACGAGCCTGCGTCTGCCTGGGGAAAGGGCGACAGCGAGGGTGCGAACCCCAGCCTTTCATGCAGTTTTTGACCCTGAGGTACAGGCTGGGAGCAGAACGCGACCTCTCCAGCCAGGCCCCCTTCTCGGCTCCCCCCGCACTGGTGAGCTGCAGCTCACGCTCCCCAGGGCAAAACTCGTGGGGGTGCAACAACCCCTTGCCACAAAACCCCCGTTTCTCGGGGGACGGGGGGTGCTACTCAAGTCGGCAGGCACTCCATTTTTACTTTGCTTTAAAAATATTTGCCCTCACTCCTGTACAGCCGTTTGGAAGAACACCAGGGAGGACACGTGTTTGTACCGAACCCCTGGTGCCGGGGCAAACGCTTGTTGAGCAATCCTGCCTTCCTTCTCAAGGACGAGGACAGATGAAGCCGCCGGGTCCTCCAGGCCTCCCAGCCTTGACTTCTGTGTCCTCCCAGCTCCTTGAAATAAGTTTTCCTGGTGCCGGGGGGTGCCTGT